GTCAAGCCACACTAAAAACATGAATAAAATTAATTGATCAACAGATTTAATATACAAAAAGTGACATGTACAGGCTCCTTCTACAGAATTACAGCTCTTGCCAGTAAATTCCTATCTATTTTTATCTTTTCATGTAGTTTAAAGAATATTATATTGCCAGTGAATTTTAAATGCACTGTTGTAAAAATTAAAAATGGTTAGGTGAACTCGTTTGATTCAGAATAACAAATGATTTGAGAAATCAAACAGAATTTTCCACATAATAGGACAATACTTGATCAGAGTATAAGCAAATGACTAACACTACTTTGCAACAGATGACTGTGATTAAACTAAGAGGTAAAAAAACAAATAGCAGGTTGATTATTTACTATTCCTATATAAACTTTGAACTAAAGGACCATGTCAGTTATTAAGGTATAGCTGGTCTTAAGATAAAGTTGTTAACTATACATATTTGAATATAGAAGAGTTCTGTTTTTTCAGTGATACCACTCTAAACTCTATCTGGCACTTGACATGGCCTAAAAGAGCAATTCTAGACAATTACTATTTTTAAGCTGGCAAAATCCGATCTTTAAACCCACTTACCATGATTCTCCTTTAAAGTTAAATCAATAGCATTCTGAAAATTTCAAAGGAAGTGACTGGGTACAAGTCAGAACTTCATTACATGCAAGGAACCAAGGAGACCCTCAGGAACATTGGGGGTTTTTTGAAAACCCATAAAGATATTTATTAATTTAGAATTTTTATGGAATAGGGTTTTTTAACTGCACTGGTATGTATACAAACACAGATCTTAGGACACAGATCTCCAAAAAACCAAAGAAATTAGTAGACTAGGCCACGAGATCTGCACAGGAAACTGGGAAAGCATTTTTTCCACAACATGCTTGTATTATGATATTACATATTCAGAAAGGATAGTAGTTACCAATAGCATTATACAGAGGTTCTCCAGTTGTCTTGTCCCAAACCACTGTTGTTTCTCTCTGATTGGTGACTCCAATGGCTTCAGGACAAAATAGAAAGAAGTATCCTTCTCAGAAGGTTTGTTTTCCTCTTATGTGGGGGTGAGGGAGGGAAAGGAGAGGTGGAGAGGAGGGAGGGACAGGTAAGGAGAAGAGGAAAGTAAATGGGAAATAAAAAGCTTCCACCTTTTTTATGTTGTAATCTAGAAATGTTTCTTCTAAAAACTCATCTTTCAACTTTTGCTTCTTAACCTATATGCTCTAAATCTCTCTTTTTTTTGGTCACAAACTGAGACAGCAACAACACTGACAGCACTAGCAACACTGCTGACAAAAGTACCTTTCCCTAATAAGTTCTAAATTAAATTTCAGAATTTCTTCATTTATCACTTGCCTGTGGTTTCACAAGGTTAGTTTAAGTCTACTTTGTAGATTCTGTATTGCCAATATACACAAGAGATTTATTTTCTTCTTATTCCTCCAAAAAATCTCTTTTAAACTCCAATGTAACATTTTATTTGAGGCTGCACATGCTGCCACCTTTCTATTTATTAACTTAAAAATTAGAGAATCTGAATTGTTCAACCATGAGTATGGTAAAGTCCTCAGTTACCCCTAAGTACCTTTTATGTCAGAGATGTTTATGTTCAGTTGTTTCAGTTTTTCACAGGTCTTCTCCACACATTCGTAGACAGAGTTTAATATTTCCTTTGGATCTTGTTCCACCCATCTTTAACAAACAGTAGACACCGGTTAGCAAAAACTTACATAAAAAAGAGAAACTCTACTCTGAAAAATAAGCTGAACATTTTGATACAATCATAACTACAAAAAATGTTTTAGATATCTAGGAAAAGCATAAGGAATTTCAATCCCTTTTTAAACTGTAAGCTGTATTTTCACAAAAAAGCACCTGCAGAAAACAAAGAATTTTGTCTTGTTTTATTCCATATGGGGGGCATTGGCAGCAAATGGTAGGTAAGTTAGGAACAAATAAATAAAAAAAAAAAAACACTCAGAGAAGAAACTAAGATATTTTTATGGATTGAACTGAAGACTATGATTAAACTGTAAAAATTAATAGCTTTACCACCTTAAATGAGATGCTAAGTCTCATATAAATTTTAGTTTTAAACTTTGAAATTTAGACATTAAATATGGTAATGAGTACACTAAGTATTTTTTAATGTTTTGTATTTTTAATGTTTTGTAACTGAACACCCAGCGTGCGTTCTTTTATGCCATTTTTCCTACAACACTGTCTTTTTTGGCAGATACTATGCTCTTAATAATTTTTAATCAACTTGAGTTTTGATCACTCAATGATAAAAATATATAAGCTCTACACAATAAAAACCAAAAGAAATTCATACCCTTCTTTAGGGAATTTTTGACTTATTTCAACTTGATGGTGACTCAAGAGCTCCGCTGTTTTTGCATTAAAAACCTGTAAATAAATTGCACAATGGAATTTTCTGTGAACACAGAAGTTTAAACAACAATCAATTAACATTTATTTTTTTTAACAAACACAGTGCTGCGATAATGGATAGTAATTTTCTATCAGCAACCTCAATATCCATATAACCTGGGTTCAGAAACATGCATTTTTGTAATTAAGATAGGCAAAGAGTATTTTGGTAAACTTTGCTGTTAGTCTGGCAATTATTTTTTTTGATGGATTGGGAAAGAACCACATTTTTTCTTGTGATGGTTGTAGAAATTAAACTAATGATGCATTTTAGAATATCTCCCAGTAAAATACCCCCTGTTGCTGGTAATAACATTTCTTTAGTTCCTGCTGTGACACTCTAATGTCAGAGCTACGTGGTTTTTTGGGTTAGCTCACTTTTAAGAAGAGTGAGAATCTGAGAGAAATCACAGAAGGGATCAAACTGTGAAGAGAGAAAAAGCACTGAGGCAGAACCCAGTTTGCCTCAAAAAAATCTACAAGTACAGAGCTCGTGAACAACCTGATAAGAAAAGAACGCCACTGCAGCAACAGAATACATTAAAAAAGAGAAGAACATGCAGAAAAGTAACTTTAATTTGGATATACTACAACAAAACCAGCAGAGTGGAGAATCATGAGAAAAATATTAACAGATGTTGTTAAGGAATCACAAGTTAGAGGTTCTGCCTTGCAGTAGAAGGTCAGGTGAAAAGCTCAACAATCTTCATTAACCATCAGTGGCCTATTTCCAAAAGGAATCTGCTGTGGCCAAGCTAAGATGACACCTGGTAAAACATCCAACTCAACTGTACAATGAGTAAACCAGAGTAACTGAGAGGGCAATGACATTCCTGTGTAAATGGCTCTTTCTCACGAGCACCATGCAGAACTTTTTGCTTGAAGAATGTTCAGGGACCTGGAAAGTAAATTCTAACAGGTTCAGGTGAACAGTAGAACGTCAGAAGGACGTCATCCTAATTTTTATGACACGCAGAGGTGAGGCAGATTTAGAAACCACTCACATGCTAAAGAAACAAAATTCAGTTATACCCATCCGCCCTCTAGGATACAACTTAATATTTTCTGGACTTCCTTGTTAATGTTCTCTTCTCATTCCACAAATTTTAGGAATTTCTCTTAAAGCTTTTAATCCATAAGCTCTTGATTACATTTAGACAGTACACTTTATTCTGAAACTATTAGAACAATTCTGACAAAAAGGAGATGAAGTTCGGATTCTTCAGTTTCTTTGGAACATTGAAGTGTATCTTCAGAGTAAAACTGTGAAGTTTAGAAACATTCTACTTACACAGCAGAATCACAGAATAATTCAGGGCGAAAGGGATCTCAAGAGATCTGTAGTACAACCTCCTGCTCAAAGCAGGATCAGCTATGAGATTAGATCAGGTTGCTCAAGGGCTTTTTTCCTAGGCAAGTCTTGAAAACCTCTGATCATGAAAACAGCACAACCTCTGGAAAATGCTGAAAGCTAATTTTCACTCTCCACTGCCCAGAAGAGAAGTCTTAAAAAGGTACATGATTGTTCTTTTCTCCTACCAGTTGGAAAGACTACATAAAAAGAGTACCACTGTATTTTTTTTTTTTTGCTATATTTATTTATCTATGTTTCATGTTCCAGCTCAGGCTTGACATGAAGCTATCAAAAAAAAGGGAAAGCTCTGTCAGTACTACACTTTTGTAAGGAGCTGGCAAAAGGGGATACGGGTCTTAAAATGCTACACAACATATCTAGTAGGAGAGGTTAAGTTTTGCATGTGCACAGTAAGATGTTTTTACTTGAAACTGCCTTTCTATGAAAAGCATATTCACACTGATTAAGTTTTAGAATAAAGAAAGACAGAGGACTTTCTACTGAACCTGTATCTGACCTACTAATGTTAAACATCATTCACTAATCATTCACTAATAATCATTCAGTATTCTTTGAAAAAGAAGGCACTGCAAGGGATTCCTACAGGTAGCAGGAAACATAGAATCAATTAGAAAAAGTCATTGAGTGAATCAGGAGTGTGAGACACACAGACATAGCAGTAAGTTGTGACAGCAATAAATTCTCAACAGAAAGAATAACACTATAAATGCACAGATTTTTTCATGCCCATAGAGAAGAACTAGGTAAACACACTTTCCTAATCCATCATAAACAAATCCACAACCTTCTGACATTCTCAACAAAAGCAGTAGACACTCCCTCAGGATAAGGGATTAAAAGGTTTTGCTTGGAACAATCCATGCTCAAGGCCGGGTTGGATGGGTCCCTGAGCAACCTGGTCTAGTAGAAAGCTGTTCCTGCCCATGGTGTGGGGTGGAATTAGGTGATCTTTAAGGTTCCTTTCGACCCAAATCATTCTATGAACAATTCTACACTGATAAATAGAATTCTGATACATGAAAAGGTGTCAAATATAAGAGTCACTAAATTTAAATTTACAAGATGATAAACAAAGTAGGGAATAAATATAGCAAATTTTATAGCAAGTCTTTCTTGCCCACTCCCTCCAAAACCCACAATTGTTGTAAAAAAAAGAAATCCCTGTTTTTCTCTGACTGGTGAGAAAGAGAAGTAAGTGACAGTAAATATGATATTATGTGCAGCTTTGGTCACCATATGTAAGAAAGATATTAAGCTGTTAGAGAGTGTCCAAAGAAGGGCAACAAAGATGCTGAAGGGCCTTGAGGGGAAGCTGCACCAGGAGCAGACGAGGTCCCTTGGTCAGTTCAGCCTGGAGGAGACTGAGGGGAGACCTCATTGCAGTTACAACTTCCTCATGAGGGGAAGAGGAGGGGCAGGCACTGATCTCTTCTCTGTGGTGACCAGTGACAGGACCCGAGGGAATGGCCTGAAGTGGTATCAGGGGAGGTTTAGGTTGGATATCAAGAAAAAGGTTCTTCACCCAGAGGGTGGTTGGGCACTGGAAGAGGCTCCCCAAGCCTGACAGAGTTCAAGAAGCATTTGGATAATATTCTCAGGCTCATGGTGTGACTCTTGGGGGTGGTCCTGGGCAGAACTAAGGGTTGGACTCAATGATCCTTGTCCCTTCCAACTCAGCATATTCTGTGACTCTGTGAATAATTCAGATAAGGTCAATATATTCCTCTTGGAATAGGTTTGAAGTGTATTTCTGTATTTTTTTGGGAGTAGAGGCTTTCATTCCTTTCATATTGATTAAGAACTGGTTCAAGTTTATGATACTGATCTCTTGCTTTCTGTAGGGTGGGGGAAAAAGTCGGTTTTGTTCTTATTTTATCAGCAGTAGTCACGAAAGAATTGTCTATGCTATTTGGACACGTAGAGCTGTCTTGAAAGAGATGAAAGTCACCAGATATGTGCTAAATTTTCTGTGAGAGATTAAAGAAAAGGAATAAATAACACCCTCCCTCTACTCCCAGCAAAGAATTAGAGCTTGAGCCTTGAGTCTCAAGACTAGAGAGAAGAAAGACCTACTTAGCCATGCTGTATGTGAGCAAGCAGACAAGCACAAGGGCTGATCACTTAATTCAAGCTCTTTATAGGATCTTTAATATAATACATCACATGAAGGGGTGCAGTTACTCATATTATGTATTATTCTGTATTGCATTCAGTTTTTATTATCTTAGTGGAAAAGAATTAGTATCAACCCATTGTAACAATTTTCAAAGAATGAAAAGAAATATGAGGCTCACAGAAGTGATGCAAGATGCTGCTCACCTGAAAAGACAATAGGGAAAACAGATTTTAGAAGTAACTTTCTATGACTCTTAAGCTTTGTATCCTAACTCTGCCTGCAGAAAAACTATTTTTGTTAGTCTGTGCTGTATCCTCAGGAGTTTCTATTAAGCTGGAACAGCCATGGCTTTGCAGACAAACAAGCTCAGAACTGGAGTTTTCTGCAACTGCATTGAAATCAACCCAGCTGGAGTAAGGATGACAGACAAACAATAATTCTCTCTTTAGCATTTAACCAGGAATGCAGACAGTCAGAAGGTATGAATAAGTACAGTTTAAGGAGTCTCCTAGAAATCATCTTTCTTGGAAGACTCCTGATGAACAGACATCCCCCTCCCATCTAGGCCATGCTTATTATTATGGGATTAAAGTGTAAAACTGCACTGTATTTTAAGTGATAGGAGCTAGGGAAAAAATGTATTTACAATATTTTTAACCCTTCTTGGCTAGCTATGCGATCAAGTTTTGCTTTTTTCCTGAAAGGTCATGTTACTTCAGTAGAGAGGTGAAATGGATTCCCCTCTGAAGAGTAAACTCAGTGGGTACTAATCTCTTCCTTACTTAAAATCAGTTTTTGTTTATTGAAAGAATGCTTGCAGTGTGATATAACTTTATTTGAATGTTTCTTCTGGAGATGAAGTGAAGGAAGAAAGAAATATTTCGCAGACATGAGAAAAAAAAATTCTGTGTCTGCCTGACAAACCTAGAACTTAGTACTGCACAGGCACTTCACTGTATATTTCAATTCTTGCTGTTCCTGGACTTTATTCAGCAAGTGCCTTTCAAGAGATCAAACAGCGGTTCAGCTCACTATTATCTCCTGAACCTTAGATTTTTGCAAAAGAAGTTGTAGCGGATTTTTATGTGATTCGTGAATAATGTAAAATGGAACATGAGAAATGCAAGTTATTTAATGAAAACATTTGCCAAAACATCTTGGCCAGAATTTAGTCATCTGTGTACACTTGTTTAGCCAACTCAATTTATTTTCCTGCTTCATATGATTAAAAAAGTGAGCCTTCAGTAATTGCATTGGTACTTGAAGCACTACACTCTTTCTGGTAACTCTGTCATCCAGGTTCAACCCAACTTAACAGAAAAGTTGCAAGCTTTAGTTACATAGTTAATTTTGCAAACGTAGATAATCAAAGTAGAGTTACAAAAGAGGGTTCCTGGAGGGTAAAGCTACCACACAAATTAAAACTGCATGTGTGCTTTGTGTTAGAGGTAAAGATAAATAAGCAGTGACAGTAACAGAAATGCACCTGAGTTCTGGTGCTTCTTTATCACCTGTGCTCACGCAGACTCCTCATTCACGCAAGAGACTGAAAACTTGTGTCCCTACACAGGATAATTTGGTTCTGAAACTAATCTAACTCATCTAGGTCATCTAAATCAACTCACTGCTCACTAAACTTAAGACCAGGTTGTTTGGGCCTTTTCTAGTCAGGTGTTGAGTATCTGCAAGGCTGGAAATTCCACAGACTTTCTGGCTCCTTATAGTGAAACATGTCTTCTTTACATCTACTTGAAACTTAATTTGCTGTAACTTGTGTTTGTTGCCTGCTGTCTTTTTCTACGCATGTCTGAGAAAAGACTGGTTCTGCGTTCTCTACAAACTGTAGTTAGAGAGCTGTAGACACTTTCCTAGCCTCTTGTGTGAAGAAAGCTGCAGCACAGTGATCATGTTAGTGACCCTCTGCCTGGATGAAATCCAGTTCTTCAAACCCTCTTGTTGTCTGTGGGGATCCAGCACCAGGCATGGTACCACACAGATGGCAATAATTACTTTCTGCACTTTTCTTACTGTGGTTAATCTTCACCACCACAAGGATGCACTGCTCACTTATATTCAACTTGTTGTCCGGCAGGAATCCATGTCCTTTTTCACCAAGGAGCTCCTTAGCCTTCTGTGCCAAGTGCTAAACTTTGTTGAACTTTACGAAGATTCTGCCAGGCTCCTTCTCCAAATGGAATTCCAGTCAACTGGTTGCCTCCATACGAGAGGGCACTTGAACCCATCCCCACAGCTGTTGATGAAAATACTGTGGGGTATCAGCCCTCACTGCTGACTGCTGCGGAACACCACTGGTAAATCTGCCACCAGTAATTGTAAATTTAGACTCTGAACTGTTGACACTACTTTTTGGCCCCATAGGACCAGATAGTTTTTCACCCAGAGTTCTTTAAGCTGGTCAAAATCATCTGTCTTCCACCTTAAAAAAACTAGATACACAAAGTAAACAACAAGTTGATTTTGGATTGTGACACGGTGAAGGCAAAAATTGTTGGAAGTATTATAGAAAAAAACGTAGAGAGATAAGTGAGAAAGGCAAGCAAAACAAATAATGGTAAAAGACTGAGAGGCAATAAGAGAGCCAAGGAAACAACTTAGGCACAAACAACACTTCATTACATTTTGGCTTAAAATACTTCAGAGTGAAGTCTCTCTTCTAACTGCAGCAGTCCCTTTCCGGCACAGAATTCTCCAGATACACTTGTTATCTGCATGACTGGCATGGCTTGTAGCAGATCTCTGCACACTTTGCCCTCTTCTTTCCCTCTCCCTCATGTTCTGATTTAACTCGGTGATCACGTATCTGATTTGCTCTAATCCACGCAACTTCATCATCGTAATAGTACGATCACACTGCCAAGTTTAAGACAGTGTTGTATTTTGACACAAGTTGAGAGAAACTGAGACAGATACAAGAAGAATTGAAGAGTGACAGTCACACTACACTTTTTGAAAAACTTAAGGAGCACCTGAGGAAACATACGTCATGCAGACAAAATCACCCCTGACTGCATACAAGTCATCAACGAATGTGTCTAGTGTAAGAAATTCCTTGTAAGAGGAACTTTTAAAAAGCACATGCATATAAATTTAAAGTTTGCAGTGTCTCTGTTAGTTCTACCTGGGTTATCCTTTCAGGATAAGAAAAAAGTTAACTTGCCATACACGTAAGAGCAGTTAGAATTTATGTCCATGTGTTACAGGGAACTTCTTTAGACTTTTTCCCAGAAGGGACTCCTGACTGGCATTCAGGACAGCCTGGTGGTGTCATTTGTCAGTTTGGAGTTTCTCTCCACCCCCAGATCTGTGTTTTGTCATTTGACAATCCCACGAAGGTCGTGATATTGAGTAATAACAGTAACACAGGTCAAGAAGATATTCTAGTCTCCTGTTTCATGAAA